CAACTGAGGTCAACCACACGTGTCCAGGACATCACACAACTGCGCACTCGCCGCACAACTACGTCTACGTCCCACCAAGATCCGTAGTCCTCTAGTGGTAGTTGTTGTTTGTTTGTATGTTGTTTAACGTCCCTCTCGAGAATTTTTCACTCATACGAAGACGCCACCACTTGCCGGTGGAGAGCTGCAAATTTTCTCCTATACTCGGCACTTAGGACCATTGAGCAGTGAGGGATCTTTTTCGTGCCAGCACCTACTGCGACACGGGACCTCGGTTTATACGGTCTCATCCGAGCCTCCCACTCCGGTTATCCTACCACACCATTGACAACGTCTACATTTGGATATGACACCTGTGGCCCTCCATCCAAATCTCATCAATATCTCACAAACATCGTTAACTGACCCTCAGCACGTCCACTTATTTATAAATTGTCTCCAAGCCTCTTACGCACTGAAATGAATTTACGTTTACAAAAAACTACCATATATTAATATTACAACTGAAACCGGAAATTTATAATAAACCACTATATACATTATTCGAACACTCTTACCGGCTAGAACTGCAAACACACGCTGCAATAGTCCCCCCAACAATTTATATGGTTACCCGTTAAATTCGGTGCTATATCTCACCGAAATATATTTGCCACTTGTATAATCATGAAGGGGATACAGCAAACGTGGCACAGTCTGGCTGGTCAATCTACCGGACACCAAACTAGATCTGACCACTCCGAAAAAACCGGTCCCTTTTTATACCAGTAGCAAAACAACCCCAACAGTATGGACACCCGTTATAACAACATTTAAACAATATTTACAATAGACAAAAAAAAAATCAACTTCGTCACAAACGTCTTTCCTTATTTAACCATAATAAAACAAAAAAAAAATGTGTTGAAAAATTACTCTTTTTTCCTTCTTTACATTTAACCATTTTTGGTATGTGAGTGAAGATTTTTTTTTTTTATAATTTATATTAAAATTATAAAACTATAACCGAAAAGAATTAAATTGAAAAAAGAATATCTTTTCACTTTATAAGTAATTGTTAATCCAAACAGTCTCAATAAAAACGGCTTCAAATATCTTTTTGAAAGATATATTATAACTGTTAAAACAACTTACCATAATTTTGAAATTTAAGTGTTATTTTTCTGATTTCTTTCCTCTATAAAGCAAATCGCGTACCTTGGGTCAATTTGTTATCGACATGACTCCTGAGTATAAATTTCAAAACATCGACAGTTCTAAATAAAGTACCGTCCAGTATTTAAAAAAAATATATGTGATTTTATGTGTCTTATCAGACAATCAATACAGCATGTACAATGTTGATATTCAAACAGAACTTATGAGTCATATACGTGCATAATTATGCAATTAAAAAATAAACTGTCGATCAAACAGGATTTACCAAATTTTTTGTAACAGATGCATTATTTTGAGTGATGTCAACCTTTTTTAAAATGTGTTTATAAATTGTTATCAATCTTACAGCTGTGCACGTAACATCTGATTAATTTTTCAAAAATCTGTTTCATTTCTTGACGTATATTGATTAAGCGTTAACTAAGCTTTAAAATGTATGCAAAATAGACGACTTCATATTGTCTTTCGTTAATAATTCCGGGTTATAAGGCGTAACTTTCGCAAGGTACAATTTCAAATGTGAAGGCATGGAGCCTCGAGTAGCTATTTTTGGACTGTTGGTTGCACTTTTTCACGTTAATTATGTACAAGGACAAGTTATATCTGGAAATATTCTACAAATTCTCCAACGAACAACAGGATTTTCTAAGGTAAATTTAAAGTTGCGCGTTTTCCTTCCCGCAGAAAAATTCAGTTTTACTTGTCAAAGTTGGTATTATTTCAAACTAGGAAATGGCGCATGGTTGGGGTTTGTATACAAAACATTGCGTAAATAAGGATTAGGGGATTGAGAGAATGTTGTGCGTTCATTACTTTGTACACAGACATTGTTAAATTTTAAAAGTGAAATTATTGCAAATAGCTGGTAAAAGATATGTAAATTCTCGAAACATTAATTAGATAGATTGCACGATCAGTATGTACTGGTCCCAGCTAATTGAGCAGGTAACAACATTGTCTTTGTTTGTTAGGCTCATTACTTGAATCATATGTTAGAGGATCTGGGATTTATTTCTGCAAGTGATAAACCAACTTATACCCATAGCCCCTTTTCTAAGGAGGAAATTCTTCAAAATCATATGTCATTTTTAAATATTTTTAATATTCCTAACAATCAAAATGAACTTGAATTATTATACCTATACTGGATTCCGAAGCTTCATAAAATCTTTACAAATAAAAACTGAAGTTGAAAAGAAAAAGCTGCTTGAGTTCCTGATTGACAATATCGATGTAGTTTTTGGAGATCTGGTCTTCCAACAATCTGTTTGAATTCCCATGTACACCAATTGCATCCCATTATTTGCAGTTCTTTTTCTGTATTCAGAAGAAGAATTATTTCAAAACTTCTACAGGAGAAGAAGAAAACGCTTGTGTCCTTCATCTCGACATTTTGATACATCGACGACGCATTACCTAATAACATAGTTATATTCATTCATATGTCGATTCGATACATTCCAATGACTGTGAAAAAAAAGACACTACAGAATCTGACACATCTGTTTCATATTTGGATACTTTACGAGAAAAAAGACGTTAATGGCAACCTCACAACAAAACATTCTGATAAACGTCATCACTTCAACTTTTCTATAGTCAACTTATTTATGTAATAATATACCCTTATCACCTGCATATGGGTTTTATCTCTCAGTTGATTCGATACGCAAGAACATGCTCTATGTACGATCAAGTTTTAAAAGAAAACAAGCTAATAGAAGTACGTTTATGACCTAATAGTGTGAAATTAATTTAACTGTTCATTATTACTTAAATTGTATTTTTATCCCATATTTTTATTTTAAAATTCGGAATAGAGATCGACCTCCAAAAATAACGTTTTTCAATTGCAATCTGAACTTCATCATTTTTTATGTCGAGTTTATTAATGCTTTGGTGGCAATGATAGTGGTTCACGTACAGACAATGATTTATATGTAGGTACAATGTGCTCATAAAACAGATAAATTAGCATAACAATCTTAATCATCAGTTTATCTTAATTTATCAAAAGTAGATTAGAAAAATGAAGCAAAGGTGTATTGCCAACTCAAAATTACCTATGAAAAGCTCAAATTATGCACAGAAACTGCAAAATAAGGTAACTAAAATGCCTGTGAAGTTTAAGCTCATGCATGATGCACGTATTAGGGAGGGGATACATGTTGGTACATAGTAAAACCGAGATTTTAAGATATATAGAGGGTTAAAGTTTGTTATGAATTACTTATGATAAAGAAGGTGATCGATTAGCAATGAACTAATTCACAAGTAACTTACTAACTTAACTATCTAGTATCAAACAACCCGATATTTTATGCATCAGTGCATCCAGTTTTCTCAAAATTTAGCTAGCAGAGCCAAAAAAAAAAAAAAAAAAAAAAAAAAAAAAAAAAAAAAAAAAAAAGAAAGAAAAGAGGAATGCCATTAAGTGCAATAATAGTTGAATTATTTTAAAAGCATGCAATGCTTACATAACTCCAGCTGTGGGAGATGAGATGGGAAGAGCTTTGAATCATTAACTTTATTATCATGACAATCAATGTAAAGTTAAGGTAATTGCCATGGAAAATTAAATAACAGGGGAATAACTCCAGCTGTGGGAATTTGAATGGTCAGAGTTTTGAATTAGACAGTCATATAACTAAATAAAGGAGGATGAACTCTCTTAAATGTTTTAGTGTAACACTTGAACAACTTCAAAGAGCAAGGTTTACTTAAGACCTTTTTGGTCCTGTGATTTTTTTTTTTTATAAAATCAAAACTACCTAGATTTAGTTGAAAATGCTTAAATTATCACTGGGAATATTTGTGACTGTATATCTATTTAAAATGACGCAATTTTCTCCCTAATCAATACATTATGACGTCATGAATTGCTTCATTATCCCCATAACCTGAATATTTTTTTTCAAAATTTCGTCAAAAGATGTTTTTCAATTTTTCATTACAGCACAACCTCTGATATAAAATTTGCAATTATTTATGGGAGAACTGCCTCTGAATATTGTTTAAATTTTTTTTGGATCGAGGAGTGTGCTTATAATTTAATTCGTGACTGAATGTATTCAAATTCACCTTTTTCTGCAAAATTCAAAATCATTGCAATTTCACAATTAAAACAATTTTAAACAGGTTTTAAGAGCTTTCTGGCAAACCAAAAACTATACCCCAACATAAAAACACCGTACGCACCACTGTCATCAACAACAAAGTCCGTCAAGTAATACTTACCTCGATTTATTTCTAGGATCCAATATTCATCGACAAACGCATGCAGATATGGCTACCAGGTGTCTTCCGGTTGTTACTATTTTAAGATTAAAATGGCGTTAACTGGAATAGCTACGACATCGCTTCTCGTATTCAAAGCGAAAGTTAAAACCAACGCCGCCTATCGGAAAAGGGAAGATAACTCCACGCCGGTTAGCAATTGTAGAAACACTGATTTGACAAAATCTAAAAAAAAAAAAAGGAAGGTTGGCTTGGTAGGTTAAAAATCCAGAATGTAGCCTGTTTAGTACATATAAACCTACTCTTGAAAAATTCTTAACGATAACCAGGAACCTTATCAATAGCCTTAGCGTGCATTTACTGAGATAACGTTATAAGTATAAAGCAATCAATGTTTTAAAACACCCAGGGTTAGATAAATCACAAGTATTTTTTAAAGGAAAATATATTCAACCCAGTTTCAAAGGAATGTTGCAAGCCATTTTTAAGTTACAGGTACATTACACCTGTGGTTAACTTGTTCATTATTTGTGGTTTTTGTGGTTTTTACTCTTGTCCGGAAGTGCTCATGAGTAGCGTCCCTTGGTTCAGATATACAATTCAAATGTTAAGTCATGGAATCTAAATTGGCGATTTTTGGATTGTTTATATCACTTTATCTAGTTAATTATGTGCAAGGACAAGTTATATCTGAAAATATTCTTCAAATTCTCCAACGAACAACGGGATTTTCAAAGGTAAAGTTGCACGTTTTCATTCCGGGGAAAAGGTTCAGTATTGTTAGGTAAAGTTGTTTAATATATGGCGTATCCTTAAAGTTTGTAAAAAGAACTGGGTAAATGAAGATTACATTGGGCATTAGAACACTGTTGTTTGTTTTTTTACTTTGTACACAGACATTGTTAAATCTTGAAAGTGAAATTAATGTAAATTAAATAGTTGGTTAAAAAAGTTCAAGACACAACTATGAAGCTATTCTAGAAGTGGTGTAAATCAGATATTGATCCTCAAAAACTCGAAAGAACTTTAAGAACTTTAAAATCACCAAAGGACAATGTGTGTTTGGTGCCAAATTCGGCCCTGTGTCAGAATAAGATAATATTACTCAAAAGTCTTTGATAGAGTATATAATTTCATAAAATTAGGCAAAAAAAAGTCTTGTTTCCTGCTACCCGACCGACCCTATTTGTGTGCGACTGACCCTAATTTTTTTTTTAGTTTGGAAGAAAAAAAATGGGAAAATCTGGAACTTCATTATTCTGTCACTGTTTTCGGTTTCCGTATTAATAAAAAAAAGCATCTAAAGAAATTCTATGTTTTAAGTATATACTTTCATAAATACCACTTGAGTTGTGCATTAAAAGACATGAATTTTAATTTCAAAAGACGATATTGACCTGGGACATGTTTAATATGATCTTATATTTGCTCATATCCAAAAAATGCCGTCGAAAAAATAATTAAAAAAAAAAAGAAAATGAAATAATTTTCCTTCCTACTTACCTACCCATTTTTTTCAGGCTGGTAGGAGAAAATAAGACTATTTTTTTGGCTTTATCAATATATGCATGTACAAAGCTTATTTATGTTTTATATAAACGTAAAAGTAGCTCAGTTTACGATAACGTTGCGATATTTGAACGTTGCTTTATGCGACGTCATGAACAAGAAGGGAACGTCATGTTTTAAAATAAATCCAGCTTACATATCTCATTATGTACGTTTATTAAAGCCTATAACATCAAAGCTTACGATTTTATTACACTTTATACAACAATTAAAATCTAGACTTTTTGATATCATAGACAGCTGCTTCTTATTAATAAAACGGTACTCGGAAATTTTAACATCTTGTGACTGGTCATGAGCAAAATTATTTCGTTAAAGACCACTCTGATTGTACACACAAGTTCTCTAAAGTTCATATTAAAAAAAATGCTGGAGTTTCTCACCGACAACATTTATGAAGTCTTCGGAGACCAAGTTTTTAAACAAACTGTTTGAATTTGATGGGCACAAATTGTGCTCCTTTATACGATGATCTGTTTTTTTTTATATTCCTAAGAAGCATAATTTATTCGAAAACTTCTACACGAGAAGAGGAAAACACTAGCTGTGGGTTTAAATTCGACATTCAGATATATCGACGTTTTATCAATAAACAATAGTTATTTTAATTTCATTCATATGTCGACTCAATATATCCCAGTGAACTCGAAATTAATTATATGACACCACAGAGTGTGCCGCATCTGTTTCATATTAAGATGTTTTACTGACTATACACGATAAAGGCCAATTACCAACTAAATTGTATGACAAACGAGATGCCTTTAGCTTTTCCATCGTCCACTTTCTTTACTTATGTAGTAAAAATGAATATTATGTACGAAACAACCTCAGAAATAAATATGTTCTGGAACGCATGTCTACAAGTTATTTACAGTTATTTTTTCTGCAACGAAATAGAAGTTAGTTTGTCTGTGTTTGTGTTTTATATTACACCTCTTCATCCCACCTTACTTCTGCCATTGCTTACCACAGAAATATTCCCTACTACAGGAACAAAACAGATTATCTTTTCCTCTTCACTTGTGCTTCTGTAATAAGGCCTTATTAGAAAACCTTTGTTCATGTTCATTTAACCATTGCCTGTACATGTATTTCAATTACTATCTTGACACTCGTACTTCGAAGCTTTGGTTTATGTATGTAACACTGCTATATTTGTACTTATAAAATCATAAATGTATTTATAGAGCTATCTATAATGGTATGTTCCTGAGAAAAAAAGGAAACATCATTCATTTATCTCTACAATTGGCCACGAATCACTGCACACACTTAATATTTTATTTGAATAAAACATGGCATAGGGAGTGACTGGTTCGCGACGATAAATACACTATCCGCGAGGTTGAATTGCTGCCGAATCTCAAGCATGCGTTTTAAAGTTGTTTAGAAATATAGATGTAAGAATTTTATCTAAATATTACATGTACTCTCTTCGTTTAAAAAACATTCAAAATGGCCACTGAGTATAAGCAGAAAGTCCTATTAATTTCATGCAGTTAAGATATATTTTAAACAACAAATCTGGTAAGACCTTTCATATGCTCAGTTTATTATTAGGTGGAAAATGCGGGGAATTCTTTTAAATTCAATTGAGTCAATAGCTGATATTTTTATTTTTAAGCAGATTTTGAGCCTCTTTGTTCTAAGTGATTTTCTGTGAAATTAATACACTTTTACTCTACAAAAAATCGTATTTAAGACTAATAAATTTTTTATGAGTTCCGTATTCTACAAAACCCCTTGTTTTTCTTTTAAATGATCGAAAATGTTCCATGTGTCCGCTGTTGAAAACGCCGAAGCGTTCAATTGAGTGTTACAAATATATTGAAAATGAGTCGTTTCAAATTACGTGTTCTAGTTTTTCTCCTCTAATACAATGTAATGTATTTAGATCTAGATCTTTGAAAGGCTCAGATTTTAACTATTTTATAAATCCATAAATATACCACAGTGGAATTCATTTTCCATACAAAACATCTTTTTGCATTTCTATCCAGTCAGAATTGACTGGTACACGTATACTTTTTATATAATCGTAAAATAATTATGATGTTGGAAAGATAATTGTCTATTCCCAACTATTCAATTTCATGTCCAGTGTTCATATATTACAACATTATAATAGCATGGTCATTTCTATCGCCTATAATAAAAATCACACTAATATTTGAAATGAGGCAATTTTAAATAGTTCGTGGAATTAGCTTTTAGAAGACAAATTTAAACAATCAGAGGATAAAAGAGAATTTTGAAGTAGAAAAAAATAATTGTTATGGACCAAAGATTAAAAATCTATCAAAAAAATGTAGTATTCGTAACAAAGAACAATCTTCGATTATGGGTGATTTTTTTTAATTATTATTATTTTTCATTACAAGTACCGCCGCTGAACATTCTTGTAGCTTGAGGAATTTTTCACATTCTATTTTATCATTCTCAGAAAATACGCATGAAATATTTGTTTGTTCATTCGTTGACCAATCAAGCTCCTGATCTTATTTCCCTTACTTTTTTTTCTTTTCATATAGTCTCTCCAGTTTATTTTCTTATTCCTCCATCATATTGATATTTAAGTGATGTTGTTTTTCTTTTTTCTATGCTTAATATATCTATGTATTTTTTGTTTTTACTTTTTTTTTTTTGCCGAAGGCCCAAGTGAGCTTTTCTGATCAAAGAGTGTCCGGCGTCCGTCTGCTGTTTGTCTTCCGTCGTTTGTCCTCTGTCGTCTGTAAACTTTTCACACTTTCCACTTCTTTTTAAGAACATATGAGCCAATTTCATTCAAACATGCCACAAATCATCTTTGGGTGAAGAGGATTTATGTTTTTTCAAGGGGAGATAATTAAGAATTCGTGAAAATTTGGTGGCATCATTTAAGAATCGTTTTCTTAAGAAGCCCTAGCCAAGAAAAGATAAAACTTATGTGAAAGCTTTATTACATACTCTAGATTCAAGTTTTTTTTTCATATCATAATCCCCGGGGGTAGGGCGGTGCCACATGTGGTGGTCGAAGTTTTACATGAGACTATACAGGATATGTCTTTAAAAATCTTCTCAAGAACAGCAAAGCCATGATAAGTCATATTATTACAAAAGTATCCTCACTTAGTGTAGATTTAATTTTGTTCGAATCATGACCCCTGGGGGTAGGGCAGGGCCACAACAGTGGGTCAAAGTTTATCATAGGAATATATAGGAAATATCTTTAAAAATCTTCTTCTCAAGATCAGCTAAACCATTATTAGTCATATCGATAAAGAAGTATCCTCAGGTAGTGTAGATTAACGTTTGTTCAAAGCATGACCCCTGGTGGGTAGGGCATTTTTAATGGCGTCACAGTTAAATGTGTAAACTGAAACCTTGCAAAACAATTATAAAGGTGCAGTAGTTATAAAGGAAAATTGTATTTACCATACAGATCTTGTGTATGGTCCTATTTTTTTCTTTTGTCAATAAAATAAGTTCAATGTCAACAATTATTTTAACTTTCAGTTTGCACAGCTAGTTACTCGGGCACAACTTACGAGTTTCTATGAATCTCCGACTACTATGACCGTGTTTGCGTTTAAAGACATTGCTTATAATCAGCTGCCATACAGAGAACGAAATATAATAGACAGCTACACGGAAACAGAGCTCAAAGATTACCTCAAATTCTGTACAAGTAAGTTTTTTTAAAAGGGATTATTACATAAACATATTAAGGCCAAGCATAAAAAACAATTTTGCTTGCAGTTGCCGACCTATAATTTTTAGAGTGGGTAGGTAGGTAAGATTTTTTTTTTTTAAAAGAAAAAAAAAACATGCAAAAAGATTCAAGTTTCCAGGTTTTTAATTGGATAACAAATAATAAGGATCTTCACAGGGTTACTTAATATAAATAAGCTCCTATTTTAAGCACCTAAATGATAAAACAAGACGAAAAATAGAAATGAAACATTAAAAAACCTGAAAACTTGAAACAAACTAAAATGAATAAATAAATTTTTAAGAAAAATCAAAAAATGACTGAAAAATGTTTTACAATGCACGTCGGGTGCATTTTAGGTGGGTTGATAGGAAACTTTAATCAGACATTTTTATATTGTAGGCTTAATCTGAATGATTTTATTAAAATGATCAATTTTTTTATGAATCCCCATGATAAAGCTAATATTTTTAAAAACATTTGAATGAATTGAACCCAGATCTGAATCTGCCGACATATTTCATTTGATGCTGCCCGAGATAAGTAGGATGCAGACCTTGTTTTTATTTGGTGAATCTTCAAATAAATAATGTTTATTCGTAAACAGTAATGGCCAGGTAATTTCTGCCGAATAAAAAACAATTTTTTTCTAATGTAGCCTTGTTATTATGGTACATATGTGATAACTACTTTTACTAACAATGAAGGAAACAATTTTGACCTTCATAATGTTTTCCTGCATAATCAATATGGATAAAAACAGTTTAATAAGCAGTATGTGAGTTACCATTTTTGAAATAAATTTAAGGTTCAATTGACCTCTAATAAGAAAGGTAACTTTTACTTGGAAAATAATGTTATGTCATTTCTGTCAAATCCCACCACTCAATATGTTTTGGCTGAAATTGATTATTTTTTTTTTAAATATAAAATTGATTTCCTCCTAAACATCTTATAGATACAAAAAATATTTCATGATGATTTTAAGCATACAAAAATATTATCTGTGTTATTACAAATGTACCATTGAATCATGCATGGTTTTTAAATATATTGTCTTTCCCTATATATAAAGGGTTGGTATTTTTTTTATTTGAAATCAAAAAAAAGAAAACAAATTCCAACTTCTGATTCAATGTGCTATTGATTGAAAACTTTTAAATTCACATACGTACACGTTTTCGTGGTCACTTTCATTTAGCACTTAAAGTATATACATCACTGAATTAAAAAGAATTAATAATGGTGATCAAAACTTTTTCATAACCACCATCATAATTGTGCAGATGATCTATCATTACCTCATTATGTCCAATTTTTTGGAAGTCCCAAGCACTTTAAGCATTTTACCCTCAGTATTTGGACATCAAGAATATTTTTTTTTTTGTTTTGCACGAGCCCATCGAGTTTGAGGCACTGAGGCTTGACAGTATTTGGTACAACCGTCACAAGAATGGATCAAGAAAGAGAAAGGGGAGGGTCCAGGGCGTGTGAACCCCACTTTTTGCAGACTGAAAACATAACTTTTATACAGGGTGTTTCATAATATATGTATATTACATTAAATGATTTTGAATCTTTAATATGAAAAACACAATAAAAAGATACAGACAAGTGTTTTCATCAACTTGATGCATGTACAAATAAGATTCATTATATAAAATTAGAGTACCAACTAAAATATTAAACACTGGACGAAATCTCAAACATTAATGAAAATTAATGAAATTTCTAAATGATGTCATTTTTGTTACGTTGACTTTAAAAACGTCAAAAGCCCACATTAATGTTCTTAATTATCTCCACTATAACACATACAAAAGTTGCTTTTCGAAATTTCTATAACCTTGTCACACATTTTTGCTTCGATTTTTGGCTCCAGTCTTTGGCACCTTTTTTCAGCTCTTCCAAGTCTTCTTTATTAAATATTTTGGATATTCAACGTGTCGGCTTGAGTATCACTGAAGAGACATGATTTGTCAAAATGCGCATCTGGTGCATCAAAATTGGTACATATATGATTTACACTCCTCATTTGAAGGTTTGTTTCTTTTGATCTCATTCAGTATCTATGGTCTAGGATTGTAGACCCCCACAGAAAAAAGTCTAAAGATTGAGATTGGCGAATGCAGAGATCATACTCTTTTCCTGGGGTATTGCATTATTTAAAATTTGTAGGCTGATAACTTCATATCATATTTTGAAGTTCTATATACGATGAAACTGCTATTATTTCCAGCATCAATTTCTGAAAACATCCGTCTGACACTTTTCTCAGGAGTATGCTAAACTATCTAAGAGTCTCCACTTCACCAATTAAATCTTCACGATCGGTTCTTGAAGTTCGAAGGCTTTCTGGAGTAACGAGTTATTTATCGCATACTGCCCGTCCCTGTCCTTTAACCTTGTTACTAGCCTTCTGATAAGCATCCTAAAATGCTTCGGATCCATTCTTTTGGAATATTACCTTCACCAACTTCTGAATAAATATTGGCGATATGTATTTTAAAAAAAACGGCTTTACAATTCAGTAATAAGTTGATAAACTAATTCCATTTCGAAAAATATTTAAATTATGACATCGGCGTTTATGTCACAATTAATCATTGTATTATCATGATTTCCTTGACTTTTTCACGTGGAATTCAAATGCAGAATTTGATTTTAAAAAATGATATGTAGTTTGTAATAGAAATATGATAGATAATAAAATATTTAGATTTAAAAATATAACATATATAATGAAACACCCTGTATCAGCAAAAGAGTTCATAAACATGATGAAAATATTTTTAAAAAACTGTCCCAGGTCTCTGTAAGATGTTAGATACATATATCATGACAGGGTCAACCTCATTCTGGACTCCAGCCTAAAATAACCTTTAATACCTCAACCACTGAAGTTTGAGAAAGGCAGAGTCCCGAATGACATTGGGCCGATCATGCGTTTTGTTCATATAAATCTTTGATTATGAAAGTGAGAGGTCACACCAAGCTGAACAACTGGTACAATCCTCTGTAAACCAGTGTTAATTTATTTTGAAGAGCTTTTTATCTGGCAAACTTCTTCTCCCCCTCTGACTACTGGTTTGCACTCAGCCTACGGGGAAAGGCCGTTTTTACCCAACTTGTATAAATACAACAGAGAAGACACAACTCGTCTTGACCATTCCTTTATTAATTTTGAACAATCCATCATTATAATTAACAACTTCATACGGTATAATAAATATTATAAGAAACATTATAAAATATATTATCCTGTAAATAAAAAGAGCCATCTGAAACTTTAACCTTTTCTGTTAAAAATATGCGCAAGTGTACAAAAGTTTCTTACCTGTATAAATGCAAAAGAGAAGACACAACTCGTCTTGACCATTCAAAGACAAGGTCCCTCTCTCCTGCATTTATACAATCCGTACTTGTTAGATCTGCCCTATCCATATTTGTTATTTTATCAAAATTTTCAACTACAACCATCAATTTTACTTGCATTACTGTACCTTTCAATCCTTTTTACTTTTTATATGCACTTTAAAATTCCTATATTTGCCATGACCAAAAAGGATCTTGCGATAATCAAGTTACAACACACTCATGTAAACAAATACCCTAACCACATTTCACCGGTGAGAAGTTCAACCACCTGTGTCCAGCATCCATTTTTATTTTTATCTTATGCGATAGAAAAACATCCCCGCATGTACTGTGTTTCCCCTCAAAACAATAATATCTGTCATAGTCTATTTTTTTATGTAGATTTTCTTATGATACATATGTTAGGAGCATTTAAATGAGTTGGGTTCTGTAAAAACTTTGTTATATTAAATAATTTGTAAGATCCCACTCTCCTATTCATCCCCGTTGTAGATTCCTGGATTCACTTTAAGTAAAATATTAAATATCAGTCTGAAAATTATTTATTTATTTCAAAAACTTCTTATTTCTGTAGACACTGTAATCACAGAATACTTTTGATAATGTTTATTGGGTAATCATTTATGTCCGATTCAGAAATGAGAAGACATTGTTTAAATAACGATTTTAAGCAAACATGTCAAAGATGATCCTACATTACACATTACACTACATTACTACATTCCACTTTTCCCTATCACACTGACACTTAAGGAGTATTACAAATTGCTGTCCTTTAAAAAAGGACTGCAATACGTGGACCATATGCATGTGTTACTAAACGAAATTAAAGAAATCTCTAGATTTAGTAATCATACAAAAGTGTAATTAAATTTTTTTTTTTTTTACATGTATCTTGTATTTTTCATCGTTATTAAAGTCTGCTTAATTAGGCTGTAATGATTAAAAAAATCATGAACTTGAAATGATATGAATATGAAATGTTGATCTAGGTATCTATCATAATTGTAATCTGTAATGTGGCCTTTAAAATTAACAACAGAATTAAAAGAGGCGTGCATGTAACGTAATGGTTGAGTTTTAACTCCATTGGCGAATTCAGGGAGGGAGGTGTTTCCGGACGTTGGAACCCCCTTTATTTTTGCAGAAAGAGGAAAAGTGAAAGAGAATGTTTTTTTTCTGTAATATGGATATTTTTACGTCTAGTATTTTCAATAAAATAAGTACTTCAATCTCTGCCCTTTCTGCTCTCTAGATAAGAGTTTTTCTTATTGCTCTCCTCCGTGTACCTCCACAACCTCGGCCCCGTGCCTCGACCACCCACACGTAACATGAAAATCTTCGGAAGATTCCGGCGAACGTACGGCTATGCCATTTTTGGACCATCTTCTGAAGTAACTAACTTTAAGAAGTATGCATAAAAAGCCATGAAAGGGAGTATGCATAAGAGAATATTTTTCTCCTTATATTATGGGGATGTTTTAATCAATGAAGAGAAATTTTCAAAATGTCCTCGTAGTATATGGGGGAGGTGGGCTCACTTTTTCTACAAAAAATAATCTTTTGTTATAATTTTAATATCTAAGTTTTGATTTGCATGGGGAGCTCCCCCGCACACTTTGTTAATAGGTTTGAAGGTTAAAAATATGGAGAATCACACATTTTTAAAAAATCAAAATGTACCGAAAAATTAGACGAGCCCCCCCCCCCCCCTCCCCGAAATAGGATTTTACAGTGTGGTGCACATGTTGTTATTTTCATTTTATTAATATATTCATTTATTTTTTTTGCTTGTCAACTCTTTTTGGAGGTTGCCCCTCCCTCCCCTTTTTGAAAATCGTTGCTACAGGCTTGAATTTAAGTGCCTGCGGCATGACCTAGAACTCCCCCCCCCCCTCTTTTTTTTCAAAAACTGCTGGATCCGACCCTGTACTCGAGCACTAAAGGGTCTCGAGTTATCTAAAGCGATGCTAGGTTATCGATAAATCGATCAATTTAAATACACAAAAAAGATTAATTTTGTGTATTTGTTTCTCTGTCTCTTTTCAAATAACGGAATGGTTAATATACAACACCTGCAATCGTAACTTCTCGGCAAAACAACGTGGCTATTTGGTCTTGCAAGTACAGATGTGTGCACTGTTTCCTAGTGACGCTTATAAACTGGTTACGTATTTGCTACGGACATGAAGAACTATACACCAGTTTTATAACATGTGCAGTTTAAAAGTCGAATATCTTGAATATGGGGTAACCCATATCTATTTTTGTTACAACGACCGTCAATGCACCCATAGACGAATTCATTGATTACTCTGAAAATGTGGCACGGGTTAACCTTTCGTTAAGATCTGCCTGTTTTGAGTGATAGCACTTTCATAGCAAAATTGTTAAATTTTATCCCCGATTGGCCTATAATTTTATGATAAACGTGATGACTTTAACTTTTCAATCGTCAACTTCCCTTACTTATGCAGCAATATACCTTCATCACCTGCATACGGGGTATATATCTCTCAGTTGATTCGATACGCAAGAGCATGCTCTATGTATGTACAATTTCTAAAACGAGGTAAATTATTGACAAATAAGTTGATAAAACAAGAATATCAGCTGTCTCGTTTAAAGTCATCATTTCGTAAGTTCTATGGTCGATACAATGACCTTGTCAGCAAATACAATTTATCATTGAGTCAAATACTGACTGACGTTTTTCATACTAATTGTTAGGCCATTATTTACACACTGAATTGCCGACGGATTTTTCCGTTATTTCCCGATCATGACAAGGAGCACACGGCGGGTGTGACCGGTCGGCAGGGGATGCTCACTCCTCCATGGCACCTGATCCCACCTCTGATGTTTGGAGGTCCGTGTTTGCTCTGCTCCTATTTCGTATTGTATAATGGACTTTTGAGCTTGAATACTGTTCGTTATCTCCATATATTTCATCATTTAAAAAATCGGGCTATTTCGATACATGAAACCCATAACAGCTGGGACTAAACATCTGTACTAGATTTATACGGAAGATATTCTGTACTAGATTTATACGGAAGATATTCTAACATTGGAAAGATAGATGGTACACGTGTAGCACAGATCTGTAGTATGCAGAATTTTTTTTGATGTTTCTCCCTTTCCCCCACATGGATAAACGTTGCTACAGGCCTTTATCAAGCTATATTTGGATTGCTGCCTATCAAATTATTTTGCGAACCTTTATGCACAAAACTAATCCCGGTAAACATGGTAAAGACTATCTTAAAGTTTTAAAACTTAGTAGTTGAATGAAGTTTTAAATTCAACATGTTCAAGCTGCTAAGCTATCAATATATTAAGTTCTTCCTACTTATTTAAACTGCTTGTACCATAGAATTTAGTTTGTGTATAAGGATATATGTTTAAAAGAGAAATTCGGATTTTGGTTACGCCAAAGAATACATAAATACGATGTGCAGATTTTAGTGCGAGGTTTGCCAATGATTGGCATATTCTAATTCGAAGAGGGCGAATTGTTCTAAGGCAGGTTGTCTTAGAGGCGAACTCTCTAGCATTCTCGCACATGCGTAACCTGACGTAAGCCCATGGCATCCGGTTTAACCCCGCTTATATATTTTCTGCTTGGACATCAGGGTCCACGCAATAAACTCACAAAAGGCTTTATTTGCATGCATGTTTTTTACGCTTAAATACGATAGTCAGAAACATAAGCACAAGTTGGACAATATCTGGTATTCCTGCCTCCATCTTTGTGGTTTTCAGTCCCAGGAAACCGCGTACTCACAACTGCCATCCAGGACAACCAGTATGTGCGGAGCAGTGACTCCAATGGCGACCGCCTCTTTTTCAATCGCGTCCAGAGAATGGACACTGTAAGTGACGTTTTATTTCCTTGTATTCGGAACACATAGTGGGCAGAGTATTGTATTTTAATTTTACAGTCTATGGAACGAGACTAACAACAGGTTCCATGAGGGATAGTATACAATTCCACAGAATGGACTTCAATCTCAGCTATGTTTCGAACCAAAATGGAAAATTCGCTATTAGTAGCCTCTTAATATTTATTATTTAAAAAAAAATCTTGTTACTAAGTAACTGTATACATGTAGCAAAAGTAATATAGATATCCATAATTGATAGATCTGTGCCTTACTCAGTACCATTTATATCGCATGTATCAGCTCTCTGTCACGTGACTGGTATAAAAAAAGAATTGTTAAGCTGAATGTAGAAAATGGGGCTAGTGCAAGGGCATACGCATGCTTTTTGAGAAAAAAGAATACACATTAAGAAATGTTTACATTGTCTCCTCAAAAAGTGCTGGCAGCTAGTTTGTGCTGTTTGGGATGTACTTGTAATTTTGTCGAAAATGCGTAAAGTAGCTAAAAATTCCTACTTCGCTTAAATTCTTAAATGAATAAATGCTAAAATTGTCGCCCGCGTGGCGCAGTGGTTAGAGCGTTCGCTCTAGAGTCGCGGAGTAAAGAGTTGATCCTTACGTCGCGGGTTCGAATCCCGCTGTGGGACGTGGAGACTGGTCCTTCGAATGAGACCGTATAAACCGAGGTCCCGTGTCGCAGTAGGAACTGGCACGAAAAAGATCCCTCACTGCTTAATGGCCCTGAGTGCCGAGTATAGGTCAAATAATCTCCGTGAAAAAAAAATGGCAAAGAATTACTGCATATGGTAAGTGGAATTTTTAGTGAATGAGACGCAAACTTAGCGATTTATCACAAAATTTTTAGTTGATTTAAGTTCAGAAACAAGGCCATGACAATTGATAAGGAATAAACTGTGTGCAATATTCAATTTTAGAGATCGATATTGAAAGCCTCGCTATTTATGCCAAAATTAAATCTTGTCAAAAATTCTGCTTATACAGCAAATATAATTATAAACATGAATTTATCTCTACAAGAGATATTTCTCTTTCCGTATGGACTATGAACCTAGAAAAAAATTATTGAGAATTATATATATATGGTGGGGAGAGGGGCTTAGTTCACACTTACACAAAGAAATTAAAATTTTTTGATTCTGAAAGTTTTTTTGACATGGTAAAAGATAAAGTGTAAACTTGCTCAAATCTGCAAAAAAAATCCCCCGAACACCCCCCTTTCGGGTGCAAACCTGGCCTCAAGACCATAAATTGAGAAAAGACTTAAGTCAAAATTTCAAATCTATATAACTTTCTAAATAATTTTGATTATAAAATAAAAATTTTCATCATATGTTTGAATTTAATTGTTATGCAAAACTGCAAATTCTTAAGCTAATACAATACATGAAACTTAAGATATTAAAAATCAATTTGATTGATTGAAGTCTGTTCTCATTTTATGGCCTTGGGGCCTGCACATTTTAAGTAATCCGTAAATTTTAACGAAAAGGCTTTAACTCGCGCCTGTCTTTGACTCAAAGAGGGTGTTGCAGTTCTTTTGTTATTTTTCCTAAAGTTGTAGCAGTATAAAAGAAAAATTTTAAGTGACAGAAAACGGTCTTAATTTTTTTCAGATACAACGGTATATACAGCACAATGTAGAACAATATTTAGAGACTGCATATCGACTTCCAATTTGCCATTAAATGAAGTTTAAATTAGTCACATAGCAAAATAAGTCAAGTTTTCTGTTTTTCAAATAGGGAATCCCCATTGTTCTGAAAAATTTCCTCCCTGAAACAGAATGAATTTGATTTACGCATAAAGAGAAAGGATTTTTCTTCAAAATTGCCATTTCCGATTTTTGTTTCAAAGAGGCATATTTTTTTTTAAATCGCAAAATTCGAATAAAAATTATTATCCATCCGAAATGCAAAATGTGCACATAAAATGGCACACGATATTTTACTGTCGGAGCTGGTCTAGTAGTAAATTGTGTGGAATCTTTGCGAAGATTCTTTTACCTGAGAATGGGTTCCAAACCTGGAATGACTGGTATATATATATATATATATATATATATATATATATATATATATATATATATATATATATATATATATATATATATATATATATATATATATATATATATATATATATATCTTATAGAATAGAAGTACAATGTAACATCTCTCTTGATAGACAAAGAGAGAGGGAGAGAATGTCAGAAAATTAATGGGTACTATTTTAAATGCATGCAGAATTAAATTGTTTTCCTTGATATTGTGATCTAAAACTAATAAGACATATATTTAATGTTATTATTTAGTGGTGATGTCTCAAAAAAAAAAATAAAGTGCTATCATTTCTATCATTTTAAATAATTTAATTTTTTCATACGCATTTCGTTTCATTATTGTTCTGTTAATTAATGGCTCAGATTTGACTTGAAACAACTAAATAGAAATGACTCAATGGAATTTCTTGGATATTGCATTAACAGTGTGCTTATTGGACACATTTTTATATATTGAAAAAAAAATTAACACACGCTGTCTACAGTACATCTTTTAAAATGATGTGCGAGGCGCACTTGCCATTAATTGTGCTTTTTATCATTCTTTCTTTTCTCGTGCAATATGGCGACAGTGACCATAGCTGTGAAAAAAAGTTTACTTACAAGTCGCCAGTCTATGTTTGGAAAAAACTATGCACGAAATAAACGTAAAATGTGCAGTGTTTTGTAATAACAAGCTGGACATACCGGTCGTATAAATAAAGTCATCTACGTAGCATTATCTATATTTAGAGATAACTCTTCATCCGTCGTGGGTATTTAAATATCCTTCTCAATTTAGGGAATAATTAAGAGTTTCTGCAACACCATCTTTCACATTTCAATGACTTTAATGGTGATGGACATTTTTCATATGTAGTTTTAGTATGCATTGAGTTAAACATACGTTGCAGGTGCCAGGAGGTGAAAGCATTCTCATTGAGGACAAATTTGAATTGAAATATTAAGAAAATTTTCAATATCTAATTGTTAAAAGGGAATTTCATTTCAGAAATAGGACAGTAGTATCATTTTATTATTATTTTATTTAAATATTTTCACCATTCACTAGTGCAAAAAATTTTGATGAACAAATTATATTAAACTAATTCTACATCATCTTTCTAAGAATCATTGAGTTTCTGTTGATTATTTTTTTTCAGTTTACTTTTTGACCCTATTTAGGCAAATTAGGTCTCGTTGTTATCAATGTAATTTTCATAGATAAGTGTGTAAATTGCTTTTTCGGTTAAAAAATATATTCAGCTTTTCATTGATTTTTAGCTCACCTCGACGAAGTCGAGATGAGCTTATGCTATACCCCCGGCGTTGGCGTCGGCGTTAGCGTCGGCGTCCCGGTTAAAGGTTTAGGAGCAAGTCCATTCCCAAGTATCTATAAGCCCTACCTGGACCATACTTGCATGGATGATGAATCTTGGGATGGACACTACCACACTTGCTTCGGATGCTGGATCTGACCTAGATTTTCCGGATGAATGACCAGTTTAATGTTTTTGGAGCAGGTCCATTCCCAAGTAACTATAAGCCCTACCTGAACCAAACTTGCATGAATGATGAATCTAGGGATGGACACTACCACACTTGCTTGGGATGCTAAATCTGACCTAGATTTTACAGATGAGTGACCAGGTTAAAGTTTTAGGAGCAGGTCCATTCCCAAGTAACTATAAGCCTTACCTGGACCAAACTTGCATGGATGATGCATTTAGGGATGCACACTACCACACTTGATTTGTATGCTGGTTCTGACCTAGATTTTCCAGATGAGTGACCAGGTTAAAGTTTTAGGAGCAGGTCCATTCCTAAGTAACTGTATGCCCTACCTGGACCAAACTTGCATGGATGATGAATCTAGGGATGGACACTACCACACTTACTTCGGATGCTGGATCTGACCTAGATTTTACAGATGAGTGACCAGAATAAAGGTTTTGAAGAAGGTCCATTCCCAAGTAACTATAAGCCTTACCTGGACCAAACTTGTATGGATGATGAATCTAGGGATGGACACTACCACACATGCTTCCGATGCTTAATCTGACCCTGATTTTCCAAGTGAGTGACCAGGTTAAAGTTTTTAGAGCAGGTCCATTCCCAAGTAACTATAGGCCCTAAATGGACCAAACTTGCATGGATGATGAATCTAGGGATGGACACTACCACACTTGCTTGGGATGCTGAATTTGACCTAGATTTTCCAGATGAGTGACCAGGTTTATGTTTTTGGAGCAGGTCTATTCCCAAGTAACTATAAACCCTACCTGGACCAAACTTACATGGATGTTGCATCTAGGGATGGACACTACCACACTTGCTTCGGATGCTGGATATGACCTAGATTTTCCAGATGAGTAAATTTTAGCCATATTTTAATCAAATTAGCATGGATGATGTATCTTAGGATGGACACTTTCAGACATGTTTTGGATTCTGAATCTGACCTGCATTTTCCGGATGAGTGACCAGGGTAATGTTTTTGGAGTAGCTATATAATATTATGGCATGTTATTATTAAACTTGCATGGATGGTGCATCTAAGGATGAAAACTTCCAGACTTACTTTGGATGTTGGAACTGACCAAAATTTTCTTGATTAGTAAACAGGTTAAAAGCTTTTTGAGCAATTTTCTGTGCGGATTACTTTTCAAGTAACTATAAGTCCTTCTTAAACCAAACTTGTATGGATATTGATCTTGGGATGAACACTAACTAGAAAAAAATATGATGTGAGATTTGTCTTACTTATAGATAACCTTCGTTGATATGAGCCTCGTAGTCTTTGATTACCTATGTTTTAAAAATTTTATTCTTATGTCTTAATAATTATTGCACATTTCTGCACCTGGAAATTTTAATTTCAAAAAGATTTTTTAAAAAAAAAGACAATATTTTTTTCCTATGGTCGAATTGTGATACAAACACTATTAAATTAACTCTACAACATGAAATGTATGGAGATTACGGAAAGTATTTAAACTCAAAAGTCAATTAAACAGTAAAAATTTTAGAGCAGAACAAACACGGACCTCTAAAAAATCAAAGGTTGGATCAGGTGCCATGAGGAGTGAGTATCATCTTTGTAAGAAACATTGAATTTCTATTTATTACATTTTTTTTAGTTTACTTTTTAAACCTGTTAAGGCAAATTAGTTCTGGTTGTTATCATGGTAATTTTCTTAGATAAGTGTGTAAATAGCTTTTTTTGGTGAAGAAATATTCAGCCTTTCATTATTTTTTCCTTTTATTTTTATCATATTGTTTCTTGCAGATACTGAAATATCGTGAATAAAAGATGCCGCGTATAATAGTTACTTTACAATACTATAAAGTTATTTAAAATTTAAAAAAAATAGAATTTTCCTTTCATCAAAAGGTGGGCTGATAAAAGATTTGATTCTTTTTACCTGTTTACTTTCAGACTTCAGCAGGCACGTTTGGACCAATTAAGTATTATGTCAATGGCGTGGAGATTTCGGAGGGAACAAATCGAGATATATCAGCTACCAATGGGATTGTTCATGGTCTGAATGGAGTCATGCGGAAAACAAGTAAAAAAACAGCATATGGGTGGATTCAAGATCCAGAAGATGCTACACAGAGATTTATGTATGTAATTATGGTAATTAATTCTTGTTACAGAGCAAAGTGTACTGTTAATTACTTTGCTTTTCCTTAATTACATGAACAAGTTTGCACAAAAAATTTTTTCTCATGTTTATTTTTTTTATAAGCAGCAACATGAGCAATATTCATCATTTGTGAAAAATTTATCATTTTGCAATACCAAATACTCTGTTTATTTTAACCAGCTTTTCTCATTGCATTTGGCATGGACTTCAACATTTGAAAATTTATGTAAACATGTAAGAAAGATATCATAGTGTGTTTAATGAGTTTGTGTCATTCGATTAGTAATTCATCTAATAAAACAATTATTACTGTTTTCAGTAAGTTCGATGACTTGGCAAACCTCATTGTGCAGTATAAACATCACCTTGGCTAAATCATTGTATTGACCTCAAAACAGCAATAATTCTTAAGTGTATAATGTATGCACTTTAGCATATCAATATGCACTGTCCTTTGTCGAATCCTATACAGCTGTAAAACAATTTTTATTCACTCGTGAGAAATATCATCAGATCTTGTAATTCCCTTTTAATAATGACTACACGTGTATATTCGTCTCCAAACTAATTATTGCTTATTTGTGTGGAATTCCTATTAGTATAATTGAAATATGGAGATTCAAGCTCAAAGTCCATTAAAACAATACAGATCGGACGTAGAGCAAACACGGACCTTCAAAAACATCAGAGGTGGAATAAGGTGCCATGGGGGAGTGAGCATCCCCTGCCAACCGGTCATATAAAAAATAAAAGGCTTTACATAAACTGAAATGACAAATTGTGATTTAAATTTCTGAATCGTTATACTGTGGAATCATTGGATTTTGTGGCTGCTAAATATTTGTGGAATTAGTGTGTACCCCGCATACAAGAATTCACATCCTCAATGAATTAATAATTTGGGTTTTAAGAGTCATCTTCTCTTTTGTAGATATGAATGAATGCACAAAATCACAACCCCTTTCGAACCTGATAAATTTAAGTAATCTACGAAAAATTGGCCCCCACGAATTTTAATGATTCGACAGTTGTTAATTTACTAAAGATGAGTTTAATTTCATTGACAGACTGGTAATTTTTATGAATTGAAATTGCAGGAGATTCATAGATTTGATGAGCTACCTAATTGTGTTGGACAACATCAATGATATTTCATCACCAGACAAGATTACCACCTTATTTTTTCCCAATGACAATGCAATGCAAAAGATTCCTACCACTCAGATAGACAGACTTAAGAATGATCCCACAGAATTACAGCGGGTAAATATAAACGTATTAGAACCAACATAATTACAACGGGTATATATCAAGTTTTCAGGACCCACAGAACTACAACGGATATTTTTAACTTATCTCATAATACAGAATTACAACGGGTAATATAAACTAATTGGATCCTACATATAATTACAGACTCTGAGTTAACATACACTTATTAGATAATCATATCACAGAATTTCAATGATGAAATAAACACTTAATTATCAGACAATTTCGCTGAATAGCATTGGGTAAATATACCAGTGTACATCACATTATCCTACAGAATTACAGCAGGTAAATATACACTTATCAGGCAGTGCTAAAGAATTGATGAGTAAATAATAATCAAATAATTTTATATTATTAGACAATCCCAAGGACTAACAGTATGTAAATATACACTTATCAGATATTCTCCCAGGAAGACACACTTTACAGACCTTACAGGATATTTTAATTCCAAGGCTTATCCCACCCTAACCACTCTTTGTTGCAATAAGATTGGCGCCTAGTATGTTGTTCTAATTTGAAACATTTTTTGTTAAAAAGCTGCATTAAAGAGTGAGACTCCTTGCAAAACACAAATGATTTAACTTAAAACTACATGTATTTTTTCTTCTTTTTCTTTTAATTTAGATTCTTCAAGCCCATTATGTTCCTAATAGAGCTATTTTCACAAACTGTATTTCTCACAATGAAGGTGTTACTAATGCCAAAGGTCAACCATTGACCTTCAGGAAGCCATCAGGTTACAATGGTAAGTTAGTTTGCAAGGATGCAAGGCTGTTGCTTGGGACATATGTCATATGAGGTGTTTGACTTCTCTATGCCAGAATTTTTTAGGTCTTGATATCAAGGGCCTAGAAGCCTTTACCAATTGGCAAAAAAATTGCTTAAAATTGGAAGAAAAAAAATTTGCCTAAATATTGGGTGGAAAAAACAAAAGCAGTGCATTAAGATAGAGCTTTTTTACTGAGGAATCATTAAAATTCATGGGGGTCAATTTTCGGTGGATTTTGTGATGTAAAATGTTCGTGGGGATGTAATTCGTGTATTCTTTTATACACTGTATCTTCAAAAGGAAATATGACTTTGTAAATTAAAGATTATTAAATCATGGAGGATGCTAATTAATGGAAGAGAGGTACCCACGAATTAAATCCAATGATTTTACAGTAAATAAGTAGAGGTCAAAATATTAGGTTCTTAATAAATTTGGGAATACAAATTTGAATGTATTGGACATGTTTCATGAACAAAAAAGGCTACCCTGCTTGAATTTTTTTCATTGTTGAAGTAAAAATTAGGAAAATGCCCGAATTTTAGCAAAAAATGGAAACGGATCTTTTTTTTTCAGCACCCTACAGACCTTAATAAAACCCTCCATGCATGTATTATCTCATCCCTTTTGCATAACCATGCATAATAAACAAATGATATGCATATTTTAGCTGTGGATAACTGAAATAAACATTTAAATTCAGCAAAAATTGAGCATACGTTTATATGAACAATGTCACTCTTTCAATTCAATGTAATTCTCTTTGTAATTCAATTTGGAAGACATTTTAGATCAAGATACACTATTAAATGTAAAAAAGTTTGTTTTGTCAATTTGTGAAATTACATTCAATTTTACAAAGAATAGAACTCATTTAAATCAACTTCTAACTCAGCATATTTTTCTGATCATGAGAACGGAGCACTATTAACAACATTACAGCATCAAAACCATAACATCTTCACAGCTTCTGGAAAAATGTTTCTGTCAACATTTCAACAAAGTTTTTGGCACCCTATCCAGCAGCCATTCATAAAAAGCTAGCATCTCTTTACCACTTCACATCTACATGTAATGATTGTTCGAATAGGAGAAGTTATTTGGTCAGTGTTTTTTTTATTTGTATTATTATCTTCATTATTTTTTTTTGATAACAGTAATAATACTTGAAATGGTTTACTTCCTGATTTCAGTATATGTCAATAGTGATGGGGTGAGTGCGGCCATTATTGAGGGAAATATCACGGTGTCTAACGGAGTGGTGCACGTGGTCGATCAGCTGCTGGGATTTGTTTACAATAACGTTCGTGAACAGATTCAACGAGAGGGAACGTATGTAGAATTTCTCTCGTAGGTCCTTGTATAAAGCTAATTGGGTTTAAGTTATGAAATGGGAGTTCTTTTCTTCTAGAAACTCATTTTTTTCTGAATTTCTATAAATCGTTCATTTCATTGAAATGATATCCCATCCCGACTTCTTTTGAAATAGATGTACAATCACACTTTATCATTCCATAATTAAAACAAGAAGTAGTGATGAATAACTGGTAGTTTGCTTTATTAATTACATTAATTTCATCAAATTAAACATGTTCACTGTAACCATGTTTTGAGTGATACTAAATGTCACATTATATATCTAAATTCATTCAAATTTTGTTTAGGTTTTGAATCATTTAATATTAATTTTAGGTTTTGAATCATTTAATATTTATTTTATGTTTTGTATCATTTAATATTTATTTTAAGGAAATTTGAACAGCTGATAAATCTCGGCACAGAAAACGTCAGGAATTCCTTGGTGCAGCCCTCAGGGGTAACTGTCTTCGTGCCTCTGGACGCCGCCTTCCAGAAAATCGCCAACATCCGCTGGGCCAACCTGAATAGTAACCAGACTTTAGTGGATATGGTAACTATCTCAATAATGGAGATTATACTAGAAATCTACTACTACTTGTATAGGCCAAAAAAAAAAAAAAAAAAAAAAAAAAAAAAAAAAAAAAGAAAAAAGAAAAAGAAAATACAACTGAATTTTGATATTTGAACACGGATATCTGGAATACCATGAATATGTTGAAATGATTTGGAAGTCCCAGCAACTTATTCTTTAAGTAGTTTACGCTGGATAATTCGAATCGAAGTTTTTTCTCTGCCCCATTGAATTCAAGATAACAAGGTTTGACTATATCTATAGATTTTTGGTACTGCCATAGTAGGCAGATCCAATTTTTTAGCTCTACTGGTCAGAGACCAGAAGGGAATTAGATTGTCTTTCAAGCATGTTGTTGATCCATGGTCAAATACCAGCATTGCTCCATTCCTGGGTTGTAGGCACTGTGGCTACGATAGTGTACACAGAGCTGTCACAAGAACAATATGCTGTTCTAGGGCTATGTATGATAACAACCAGTAATTCAAGTAGTGCGTTTTTTAGATCTTAAGATATGTGATTATTAGTTAGGCTTAATGCTATGATCTTTAACCCAGCTGGAGAAAATCTGTTGTTGTTTTTTTTTCAGGTGCTTCGACTGCATATTCTAGTACCCAACAACCCAATTATTATCTCCTCCTTGCCAGCGATGAGCGGATATGAGAGTCGTCAATACAGGCAAACCATGTATAACAATGAGATGGTCACCATTTATAATGAAAGAAATGGTAAATAATTACATGTTGTTTTAATTTGACTTTCATCAGATCTACAAAAGTTTGGACAAATTTTTAACAAGCTGGTCTCCCTCCTCCCTTTATAAAAAAAAGTATTGGTGTCAAAACTGAAAGATAATTTATACATGTATGATAAAAAATTAAAAAAAAATGATTTTGAAGACATGAAAGCATCCATGCTTATCCATTCTGCACCTTAAATCTCAAAAAAATTATTTTTTTGGCAAATGTGTTTAACAAATGTTTATGTAGAAGATTCAAGAAGGAGAAAACGTTGAATTCACAAAACACTCATTTATTATTAATTATGATATCTTTTAAAAGTTGCATAGAGTGATGGCTTATCTATTTCTATTTTTAGAAACCTGGGTACAGGGTGGTAACGTGAAGGCTCGCGTGATCAGACCGGACATAACGACCGTAAACGGCATGATCCATATCATTGACTCTGTACTGGGAATACCCTATCTGGATCTTCCAATGCTAATCTGCCATGACGTTTGGCTATTGTAGGTGTAGATAGGTCATGAACAATGAAGTTAAATAATCATTACATGCCTGAGATGGATTGACAAAAATATAAAATCTCAATGACCTCTTGTCATTTTTTATGCAACATGGTTATGTGTCAGAACATTACGTTGTAGTACTTTTTCGTGTTTCATTATAGGCGTACATATGACTACATGAGGAGAGTGGGACTAAAGAACTACCTTACGGACCGTAGATTTACAGCAGAGACGTGCAGCTTCGAAATTTATGGCTATCCTCCAAATTATGGATCAACCGTGCTCACTAACCAGGGAACCACCTGCCCTACTTACTGTAGCCAGGCCCAATATCAGAACCAGTACCCCTGTAACACAGCACAGTGTCAGACAAATACTGGTTCCACCACGTGTCCCACTTATTGTGCCCAGGCGAATTACCAGAACCAATATCCATGTAATACTGCTGTGTGTGCCAATACCAACACTGGAGGGGGAACAACCTGTCCAACCTATTGTTCACAGTCTCAGTTTGCAAATCAGTATCCGTGTAACTCGGTCATTTGTACGTCTGGGTCTAACTGTCCCCCCTACTGTTCACAGCCCCAGTACGCAAACTCCCAGCAATGCCTGAGTTGTAAAGGGGGATTAGCGAGCCAGTGTCAGTATATTAGCTACTGCAGTGATCCAAACAATGCCAACAAAAGTCCGTGCAACATGTATCCATGCAACATGCTAAATAGTTTGAACACAGGGTCGAAGGGTTCGTCAAATTATGATATGGGGTACTGCGGTTCGACCACTGTGGCGTGTGAATTCACAGTCTTTGTTCCTAATTCCAGTGCTATTGAATATTTTTCAGTGTCGCTTAATGGCAACAAAATTATGAGAGACACTCCAAGATTTCAATATGTAAGTGAAAAAATTGTAGTAAAAAAATATCTATGCAAGTTATCAATAAAAAATTCTTCTTTCAACCAACAATTTTCAAGAATACATAATTTAAATAATTGTATATATGTTTGCTTGTTTATTTATTGTTTAACGTCCCTCTGGAGAATTTTTAATGCACTAATATGGAGACGCCACACTTGCCGGTGGAGAGCTGCAATTTTGACCTATACTCGGCACTCAGGGCCATTGAGCAGTGAGGGATCCTTTTCATGCCAGCACTTACTGCGACACGGGACCTCTGTTTATATGGTCTCATCCGAAAGACCGGTCCCCACGTGCCACAGTGAGATTCGAACCCGCGAAGTAAGAAGCAGCTCCTTACTTCGCTACTCTAGAGCGAACGCTCTAACCACTGCGCCGCCCGGGCGACTAACAATTGTATATAAAGACACACAAAAAACTTCTAAATATGCTCTTTAATGTCATGCATTTTGCAATTTGAATTCTTAGAAGCACTTTTATAAATATCTCTTACATTATTAATGGTGATTTCTCCTTATAATGTGACAGAAATTAACGTGTATAAAAGTGTTTTATTTAATAATTCTAGAATGTAGAAATTTAGACTGTATTACTTTTATTTTTAGTTGTTTAAACGGCTCATTGTTCCTAGAAGAATCTATATAGAAAAAATGGGAAACGGAATCCACCAGATGAGAATGTTAAACGGGGAGACGATTAATCTTACAAAAACAAATGACAGAGGTAATAATCCAGGAGAACCTTGTTATCTCAAATTTAGTAGTCTCACTAAAACAAATGACAGACTTAATTATACAGCCAAATCTCGTTTTCGCACACCAAAACATATACGTAAGTCTTTTTATTGTCGAAGGAGTTTTCTTATGAAAACAAAAAATAAGAGAGTTCTTAATAACTGGAATTTACTTTATTTGCTTCTTTCACTTTACTGCTCTGTGTTATATTCTCTATAGGGATATCAGCCAAAAAAATATATTAAAAAAGACAAACTGAAATTTTTATCTATTTTTAGATGTGAGGATATACTTTGGAGGAGCATCAGCGAATGTTATTCACATGGATGAGGGGGCGACTAATGGGGTCATGCATATCATTGACCAGTTGTTATTTGTTCAGGAAGATCTTACAAGAAACATAGCATCATCGAGTAATCCTGAGAAATTTCAAGAGATTCTGGGATAATATTGATAAATCATGAAAACAAAACAAGACAAAGATATGAAAGTTTACTTATACAATTTATAGTGATATGCTATCAGAAAATATAACATATATATATATATATATATATATATATATATATATATATATATATATATATATATATATATATATATATATATATATATATGATTTGTTGTATTTCTATTGCATTACGTATTTTACCGTTTACTCAGAATTTACTCCAGTTATATTATTTCTGATTATTCCAATCAATTTGTTTTTGCATCTTTTTTTTTTTATCTTTCTAGCAAATTATAATGGAAATTCACATCATTACAGATGATACCTTTTTGTCTTGGGGAGAATGGACTTCTTGTAGTGTTACTTGTGGAAACGGTTCCCAACAAAGGCATAGGGAGTGTGGCGGATCCTGTTCTGGTTCGTCATCCGAATCAAGGACCTGTTATCCACGCTCATGTCCAGGTAAAATGAAAAAAAAAAACCATTACGTTGATAAGGCTTAATAGAATTATAGCTTGTTTATATCGGTTAGCCCATTTGTTTTCTAGTGAATGGTTTATGGAGTTCTTGGGGTAGCTACAGCCCCTGTGATAAAACGTGTACGCACGGCTGGAAAGTCAGATTCAGGAATTGCAGCAATCCTCAACCGGCACACGGTGGTCTTTCTTGCATCGGTGATTCATTGGAAGCTGTACGGTGTCCTGGTATAAATATACAGTTTTATAAAAGAATATAAAAATACTTAGTAGACGTATTCTTTATCAAGCTAGGTTTTGATTTCAAGTTGCAAAAAAAAAAAATCTAATCATGTATATAATACGGCATTTCTGTCACAATCAATTGCATGTGCAAAAATGATAAACACACTTGAGTACATTTTTTACATACATGAATTAATTGTATCCTTCGCTATCTTGAAAATGCTGGAGATAAGCCTATATAACGCAAGAATTTCAAATATAAGCTATATGTGAAAGTATTTTCCTACCTATATCGATTTCTTTTAAGAAATAAGATGTAACACAGACAAAACCCGAGCAAGATTAATAAATTATAGAGCTTATTCATGCAGAATATTTTCAGCTAATCCTAGTTAATCATTTAAGCTTGACTATTATATACACGATTTACAAATTCTGACAATTTACGGACGTGTATCGGAGAGAATCTCGCATTTTACATAATAATAATAACAATAATTTATATGGGATTTGAGAAAGGAATCACTATATAATTACAAATATTAACCATCATCGCAGCATATTCAACCTTCAAAACATATTTCTAATTTTTAACATGCAACAAGTTAAGAGGAATGGAACATTTATGACATATTTTCAAACAAACTATGTTGAAAGAGGCCATGGTACATCCATGACTATAGTACCTAAATTTGTACATGTAGTTGATGGACAATGTTCAGCATGGTCAAGGTCTGAAAAGTGTAGTAGAATTTGTGGAGCAGGGGTTCAGATAAGGATAAGACACTGTTTTAATCCTGCTCCTGGATACGGTGGTAACAACTGTTCTGGAAGGTCTATTGAGAGCAAACCATGCAGCCCCGGGAATCGTCCAAGTTTTCTCTTTTTGCTCCCTTCCTTTTACTTGTCATTGTTCCACGTAAACCAAGATGTATTTTTAATATTTTTTTCCTATCAAATTTCCGTAGTTTTCCATCCTTATATGTCTTTCTTGTGGTTTATATTTTTTCTTTTCGTTATTTCTTTCTTTATTGGCTTCCATAATACTGTATTTTAAAATAATAGCTTTAAATATTTCCAGACAAATCGTTCGTTTTTGAACATCATAATACAAATGAATGAACACCAATTGTAGTCAATGGTAATTGGGGTCATTGGGGTCACTTCCGGCCATGTGACATGTCATGCGGTGGGGGGATTCATATCCGAATGAGAAGATGTGACGACCCGCCTCCTTCTGATGGAGGGCTTCAATGTCCTGGTCAATCAATCCAAACCGAGGCATGCAACACTCAGTCATGTCCAGGTACAGTATAAATGAATCCTGCGCAATGGGAATTTTTGTGTACATTTTAAATCCTTTTTTTCTTGTTTCAATCATTTTCTTTGCATTATTTCAGATACCAGTCAACCAATTGATAGTGTGATCGGATAATATGTACCCGAATATTGTAACATATTATATAATGAAAAGGATATTCCCTTTAATTCTTTTTCTTTTAGGCAACAGATATTATATCTACTTTCTGATGATACAAATTTATCGAAAGGACTTTAAATCCTTAAACGAGGTTAGATATTTTACAAAGGTCCGTGCTGTGTCTCCATAGTGTGTTTCTACTTTTAGGAGAAAATCAAGTATTGAATCTCTAAATGTCCCCTATGCCCAACGTGGGCGCCATTGTCACAGCCTTGTATAGATATAAAGTTAACATAAAACACAACACGCCCGCTAGCGCTTGGTTCGATAATCGTATATTCTACGTTTATGGAATGAAATTTATACAGATCAAATAGATATTGAGTAAGAATTACAAAACTGGTCTTGTCAGAAGAAATGCTTATGTGGAATTTGAAAGCCATAGCTCCAACCGATCAAAAATTACGGGCAAGGTTAAAGTTCTTTTGCGAACAAACACGCAGACTAACAGGCAGGGCAAAAACTATATACCTAAAAATTTTCGACTAAGAGTTTATAAGATCTACTTGCCTACTTTTTTGTTTTACCTTTTAACGTAATGCAGTTCGAAAATAATAAAAAAGAAATTCTCAATCTTTACCAAAAATAAATTATTTAAAACCGTGTGTCTATTTTGCATTTTCACCATTGCTAAGTGCATAAATACGTGCATGATTCTAAAAGATGGTTTAAAAGACCAATACTTCTTTTACCTTACAAATCAATTGCTTCATATGTTCGAAGAATTATAAAAAATGCAACTCTTAAGTGAAAAATGGAGATAACAACAATAATCAGCTTAAAAGTTCTATATACAATAGTATACAAATCTGGAGCAACCCTAACTTACATTTGTAGTGGGTACTCCCGGCAATGATGGTAAACACAGCTGTAACTTGCACGTTTGTTAAGGTGACTTCATCATGGCCAATTGAAACAATGATAGATGGTAGATAAATGGATAATATGGAAAATATAGAAAAGTCCTTAAATATATAAATTGCGTCATAAAAATATGCACAAAAGGTATATGAATAATCTGATATTCCTATCATAAAGATATAACAAATTATCTCTCTTCCCTTTTACAATGAATTATTATATGTTTCAATTTTATTCGATATGATAACATGAAGTATGTTATATAAAAGGAAGTTAAATCTTAACAAATCATAAAAATATATATACAGATAGATATACCAATTTATGGAATTGAACTTTCTCCAAATGCAATAACATGTATATATATTCTTTACTAATTGTATTACCTCTGTACAATAAATAAAATAATCATGGTTTGTTCTTTACTAATACCTTTCTCATAACCAATAGACATTTAAATTAGTTTAGTTACTAAAATATTCACATCAAAATATTTCTAAGTATAAATGAAATATATGGAGATAACGAACAGTGTTCAAGCTCAAAAGTTCATTAAACAATACAAAATAGGAGCAGAGGAAACACGGACCTCCAAAGCATCAGAGGTGGGATCAGGTGCCATGGAGAAGTGAACATCCCCTGCCGACCGGTCTCACCCTCCATGTGCTCCTTGTCATGATTGGAAAATAACGGTAAAATCCGTCGACAATTCAGTTTTTAAATAATGGCATAACAATTAGTATGAAAAACGTCAGTCAGCATTTGACTCAATGATAAATTGTATTTGCTGATAAGGTCATTGTATTGACCATAGAACTTACGAAATGATGACTTTAAACGAGACTGCTGATATTCTTGTTTCAACAACTTGTTTGTTAATAATTTACCTCGTTTTGGAAATTGTACCTTCGTAGAGCATGAGCTTGCGTATCGAATCAACTGAGAGATATAAACCCCCGTATGCAGGTGATATATACAAATTGATTTACTGCAATAATCCATCAGATTTATCTATATCTGAATAGAAAGAATAATTGAATAGTAATTTAAAAGTAAAATATTGTTTTCCACCTTTTTAACATAGATTATGGAAAGTAATTATATCTTAAAGCATTAAAATGTAACAGGGGTATCACTATGGAAGTATATAACACAACACTCCTGTCAGGGTTCATCAGATTTATTGCACAGTGGAGTGATTATATATATATTGTGTTGTAATGTGTAAGCCCTGTAAATATCATAAAAACAACAATAAATATAATGTAAATAATTATCACACACAATGTTCATTATTTCACATGAAGATAATTATTGAATTATCATCGTTTATATTTACATTGTCATCAAAGGGAGATAACTCTCGAATATATAAATCTTTACATATTAATTACTCCCATAATATTCATAAAAAAATATATTCCAGATTAAAAACATATAAATCTAAATCTCACCATTCTATGGGAATAGGCTTTCCCACAAATTGTTAATGTAGAAGTATCTACATGAATGGTGATCTGTAATTTAATACAATTTATTTAAAAATATTATCCCTTTAAAAATATATATCAATTGCTCACTTTGAACAATGTCATCAAATATATCTTTGATCATCATAAAAACATATAATCTGATTAACATCAAATTACTTCTGTTAAATACTTAATATTGATCTTGTAATCAATAATAAATATACATCATAAAATAACTTTCTTTCAAATTCATTCATTCACTTTAGTAAGTGCAAATGGAAATAACTTTTGCATACTATAGGATGAACATTTAAAATATGAAATAATATTAGTAACTTACCAAAAATGGAAATCTGTCCAAAGTCAAAAATGTCTTTTATGAATATATATATATAGTCTGGTCAAATCAACCTCTGAACAAAGAATGGTCTTAATAAAGCGGGAAAACTCCAACCCAGTCAATAAAACCAATAGAATCAGACCTTTCAAATCAATAACCAATAAAAACCAAAATAACAATGACCACTTCCAAAACATCTGACCAATGCCCTTAGGTATATATATAAGTATGTACAGGTAAGGGAGAACTAAGGGGTGGATCTAGGTTTTGAATAACAAATTTAAATAAAAGTTAAGACATATATTCTGGCAAGTTCTGTTACTTTATTTTTGTACAAATCCAACACTATTGCAATCTCCCCCCGGTCGCGGAATGACGTCCACGTCATTCAAATGGGAAAGTATAATCCTGAAATACAAAGCATAAAAATACATAATATACAACTAAAACATTACTTGGATGATGCAGACACAAGATTTAACAAGGCTAACTGGCAAAACAGATTTAACAAGGCTAACTGGAGTCAACACTCTCTAAAGTTCCTTGTTCCATCAAACTCTTGATAAAATTGGCTCTCTGTAACCAGTCTGGCTGTGTCTGGCTCATCATCACAAAGTCTTTTGTCCAAGGTGGTTTACTTTTGTTTCTAGTTGATCTCCTTGGTGCTGGTACTGGTACATGGGTATCTTGTGTAGAAGGCTCTTGATGAACAGTATCATCAGCATGTGAAGGCATATCATCAATATCATCGTCAACTTCATCATCAACATCATCATTATGCTCTTCATCCTCTTCAGCATGATTCCCAGGCTCATCCTGGTGGAGAGCGTCCTCCCCTGAAGCCATAACCGAAGCTTCCTCAGCCAAGGAATAGTCGTCACCATCTTGACTGGGGATGTCTTGATATGAATTTTCTGACTGCATTATAGGGTAACCTATAAAAGAAAATTCGCTATCTGAATCTGAATGGGTACCATCATTAGAATTTGTTTCTTTTGATACTTCTCTTTTTGTTGCCTTCCTTCTACATCTTGGTGGTTTTGATGGAGGAGGTGTATACTTCTGTAATTTGAAACCTATTGGAAGCAATAAATTTCTATGTAGAAGTTTACATCTTCCTTCACCGTCCTCTCGTCGAACTTTGTAAACAGGTATGTCTTTATTAGATTGAGCAATGACTACATAAGGCTCATCTTCCCACTTATCAGCAATCTTATGCTTTCCATCATACGATACAATTTTCACCAAAACTGTCTCCAACCTGTACAGTAGCCGCTCTTGCCCTTAAATTGTAGTTTTCCTTCTGCCTTTGTTGGGAATGCTTGATTGCTGTATTAGCTAGTTTATATGCATCTTGTAGTCGTTCTTTTAATCTGTTAATGTATTTAGTATTGCATTTTTCTTCATCTTGCTGCTGTGGAAATCCAAAGATGATATCAACTGGTAATTTAGGCTCTCTCCCAAACATTAAGTAAAATGGCGAGAATCCTGTTGAATCATTTGTTGTGGCATTGTATGCGTGAACCAAGGAATTGATGTGACTTTTCCAATCAGGCTTTTGGGAGTTTTCTAAAGTTCTCAGCATGGAAAGAAGAGTTCTGTTAAAGCGTTCTGTTATACCATTACCCATCGGATGGTAGGGGGTTGTTCTTGATTTGGAAATTCCTAAAAGAGTATATAATTCTTTAATGATGTTGCTGCAGAAATTTGTTCCTTGATCCGAATGTAGTTTTTCGGGAATTCCGTAATGTAAAATGAAATGATTGAAGATAGCTTCAGCAGTTGTTTTGGCTGTCTGATTTCTAGTTGGTATTGCCACAGCGAAATGGGTAAAATGGTCTGTAATGACTAAGATGTTTTGTACTCCTCCCTTTGCTGGTTCTAATGTTAGGAAATCCATGCATACAAGTTCCAGTGGCTGGGATGTTTGGATGTTAACTAATTCAGCTCTCTGGTCACTTGTCTTAGTCTTTATACATCTTTCACAGCAATCAATCCAATCGATGATATCTTTCTGCATCTTTGGCCAATAAAATCGTCGTCGCACTAATGAAGTCTTGTCTCTGCCCAAATGTCCCATCTTATTGTGCAGGTGATGTAATACAGTTGGAATGGTTGACATGGGAATGACAGATTGATGGATGGTGCTATCTTCTGTTTTCACTTCTCTCAATAGGATGTTTTCTTTGACTTTGAATTTGGAAAAATTCCTGTAGAAAATTAAGTCATTTTCAGTGTTCAAAGAATCCCTATCTGGTCTGGTTCCTAATTCCACTTGGGTTTTCCAGAAAGAAACAGTAGGGTCTTTATCTTGAATAGCTGATATGTCC